AGTGGCAGTTCCTCTACAAATGCACTCCCAAGGAGAACCATAGCACACTTATCAGTCATGCTAGCTGGAGCAAAGGCGGCCAGCGGCCAGCACCCAGCACCCAGCACCCTTTCATGCTCTCCCACAGGAAAGGACGCAGTCCACGCCCCCTCTCCAGAAGCTGCGTCTGACACCCCGCAGTGGCTTTACGGTGCTTCTGATCTCACAGCTTATGAAACCAGAACCAGAAATTCCGCTTAGAGGTGGCGTGAACTTTGGAGAGTGAACGGTTGGTAAGCTTTCTGCTGAGAGCTTTCTTAGAAAAAAATGCCACTTCACTGGTTTCTAGCAATTGACAGAGCAAGAAAAAAAACTGTTTTAAGCCTGTTAGTCTCCAGAGGCTCTAGTCTATGCCAGACACAGACGTGTGCTCTCGTACAATCATTCACGAAAAAGCACTCTGATAGTTCTGCTTCATCGCCATGGCCTTCCATTCACTACGCCAGCCAGCGGTCAGAATGAAGAGAGAGAGAGACTGGTTCGTTTATTGCCGCAAATCATATATTCCTGACCCCATTATTCTCGTCCCATCCTCATTACCAGAATATCAGAACAATAAGCAAAGCCCAAGTCAGGGACTTTGGAAAAAGAAATGGTTCAGGTCTCTGATAAAATCAAGCTTCTTATCAAACAAACCCTGCTTGAAACTTGCTAAGCGAGTTAGTATAATCGTTGTTAACCTTGCAATACAAACACTGAGCCGACACAATGCGCTGGTCCTCCCACTTATAGCTGAGTTGTTTTAAGCTCATCCTCATCATCATAAACAAATCCTTCTTACCAAACCACAGATAGCCTAGCTCTGAGCAGAATGCGGAGGTAACTGCACCGCTCAGCTATCAAAACTTCAGAAACACAGGCCCAGATGAGAGCATTTTCTGCTACATCGAACCACAGAGCGAACAGAAAAGCCGAATACTTACTGCTTTCGCTTCCTCTGGCTGAGGCCTGGAGACTGGGATTCCTACGCAGCCTTGCAGACACCTTGCTGGCAGGCCAGCAGCTGCTTCTACAAAATCAGGGCCCGTCTGAGACTCTCCCCTGCTAGCAGCAAATGTTAAGGTGCTATTTAGCTATGGAAACAGGTGAACTCCACCTTCTTTAATTTCAAAAAGAAAAAAAGGTGTTGGCCATGTTTGCCTCAGTAAGGGGATCTCCTGGTACAGGTGCCCCCACGTCCTTGGCCCTAGAATCACCTGAGACGCTTGTTAAATGACCATGGATCTCGGTGGAGCATCCGAGATCTTGCTTCCCAGCAACTGTCATCAGTTTGGCTCCCATAAACTCATAACAATTCTCTCCAGGTTTGGATGTTTCTTATGTCGACAACCAGGAGACACAAGTTGCAGGATTTTGGATGACGACTCATCCTGGCACCAAGTGCCCTTTTGTCGATTGCTCCTGCCGCGACGGCTGTGTTTTCCTAATCGTGGGCCGGGTGACGCCTCATGCCAGTCCCTACCAGGAAACGGCGGTGTGCGCCAAATGACGTTTGGGGGTTTGTATTGTCTTACTTTGCCATGTTTTTGCCGAAAAGCCTTTTAAATGTGATTGATTGTTTTGATCAACCTGCCCCTGAAAAGGGATTAGAGTGTCTACCTCTGGACACGGATAGTTTACCTCTGAACCGGCTACTCCTGCACAACCAGCAGGCTGCAAATGAATGAGAAGAAATAAATAAATAAGGGTTCTCAGCTCTCGCCTGGAATGGTTCTGATTTCGCCCCAGGTGATTTGTAATTCAGCAGGCTTGAGAACTCCATACATTAATAAAAGAGGGGAAAGGTGGCACGTAATCTACGAAAGAAGGGCTTCTGCCAAGATGCCTGGGTTTTCTGAGTAACTCTAAGAGAAGATGCTTGAGTAGCAATATTTTCACCACCTGACCCTGAAGCAAAGCAGTCAAAATCTCAATCTGTAGTGAAATGGTCACACTCGCCAGCCAAAAATCCATGCAGAGAAGAAAAATTCACATGGAAAAGGCGGCTTTTAAGGGCTGCCTGGGACATCCTGACTCTGTTGTTTTTTTTTTTAAATTGTCTTTTAGTGAAAGGTCCTAACTATTCTTTTCCATAGCACATGTGTCTACAGAACGCACAGGCAGAATGCCTTTTATTTTGAAAGCTTTATGGAATCCGTCAGCTTTCAGAAGAAAGACTTTCTTTCCAAACCACTCTAAAGATACAAAATGATCCCGTAATGAAAAGGGCTGTTACTTCAAAAGGAGGTTGTCAAGTCATCCCATTTACTTACAACTCCATTAAAGATTAAAAGAAATAAACCCAATGCTTTGAATTTGTATGTTGACACCGGTGCATTAATTATAGGTCATGCAGGGCCATTCGAAGCATTGTAAACTACCTTTATAATGGATCGAATTACAAACTTAAATACATGCAGGTCAGAGAGAGCGAAAAACTGAGAAAGCTGTCATTAACATCTGTAAATGACTTCCCTCACCCCACCCCTCCGAGAGAAGGGCGCTGATCTATTTACTCCTGGCCAGGAAGAAAGGGGTAAGGGCGCCCAGGTGCTACAAGGAAACCGTTCAGGGCATGGACCTGTGCCAAGGGAACGGCCCACCTGGATGAAAAATTAAACCCAGGTATCCCCAGCTCCTGCCTGAACTTAAACACTGGCCAGAGAAGGCTTCCCAACCACAGATGCGGAGACACGTTCCCCTGCCCGCCAGGGGATACAGGACGTGAGGACAGCCTCAGAAAACTCTAGATGCCGTGGGTGCTGAGGCCTGATGTCCACACGCAGGCGCACGGCCCGGCCGTCCCCTCGGTTGGAGACCACCCGCCTCCACCCTTGTGGCTCCTGGCCGGGCACCCTTAGCCCACTCATGATGGCTCCACGCTTCCATTTCTCCATCGGCAAAAAGGGGGCCATCCTGGCTCCCAAGGGGCTGGTGCGAAGAATAAACGAGGCCGCAGAAATAAGTAAATAAATAAAGACTGACATTTTTGTGCGACCATGGCAAATTATTCCAACAGAGGCTCAAGACGGAGGGGGCCGGAAACGCAAACTTTCTCAGGGGATCAAACTAATCAAGCCTTCCAAGGGGGGCTGGGGAGACCTTTGTCCGCGCTCGGCCCCGCCCGCCGCCCGCGGTCCGCGGTCCGCGGTCCGCGCCACCTTTCCCGCGGCGGCTGCCGGGCAGGGCGGGGCGCCCGGCGGCGCGGGCCCGGCGGTCGGGAAGGCGGGAGCGCGGGCGCACCGGCGGGCCGCAGCCCCCAACGGCTCGGTCGGCTCGTATCGCAGCTCCGGACCCCGAGCACCGCAGCCTCTACCGCAGCTGCCAGCCCCGGCCGCCGCCGAGCCGCGGCGCTAGCTCAGGGCCTACTCAATCTCCTCGCGGGCCAGGGGGGCTCAGCGCGCAGACCCGGGGCGCCCCCCGCGCCCGGCCGCCGCGCTCAGCCCGGCCCCCCTTCGCGGCCCCAGCAGGTGGAGGCGCCCGGCGCGAGCGCTCCCGGCCCGCGGTCCCCTCCCGCCCGGCGCCGCGCGCCAGCCCGCGCGGGCGCAACTTTCTTAAAGGGACAGGTGGCCGGAATCCGCAGCTACCTGGGGCCCCGACTCGGCCTCCTGACCCGTCCCCCGATTAGGGGATAGAAGGGTTTGCAACAGATCCTCCCACCCACCCACCTCCTACCCTGATGGGCAGTGACGGATTGCAAGTTTTAATGCACCCAGTATCCTTTTGCAATTTAATTCTTCTGGCCTAAATCGCCCTCCCACTGCTCCTTAGCGCAGGCTCGCGGACTTGTGGTTGCTGCCACCGTGGGCAAAGTTTGAAGAGGGGTGTCCCTATGCCTGCGCCCCACCCCACCTGCAGCCCCGGGGCGGGCGAGGCTCGCAGCTGCTGCTGGGAAACGCCCGCAGCGATCCCCTTGACCCTGCCCGGTAACTGACCCTCGGGAAAAGCCCCCCGCACGGCTACTGCGCATGCTCTGAGCTGGACAGCTCCAGAGAGGGAAATTTAAAAACGGTTCTTGCAGCGACGGCGGCCAAATTGCAGAACGCGAGGGGCGAGCGCGAGGGAGTCCCCCCTCCGAAGCCCCCGCCCGCCCCGGGAGCACGGGAGCGGCGGCCCGGCGAGGATCGGCTCCAGGTACCGCCTTGCGAGGTCGGCTTTGCTCCCTCCTCCCTTCCCCGGCGAGTGCCCCGCGTCGCGTTACCGGGCTGGGGACCCCGGCGCAAGGGCTGCGAGGGCTCCCTTACTCTGCTCCATTTTTTTTTTCTTCCTGGGAATCCCTGAATGACTTTTGGGGCGGATCTGAGAGTCTCTGGTGGGTTTCTGGGTACTTTTCAGGCTTGGAGTTTGAGAAACTTAGGGAAGATTCCTTTTTTTAAGGCTGTGTGTGCGGCGGCCGGGGGGCGGGGGGCCGGATCGGTTTTCCGACAAGGGCGTGTGGCATTTCTGACGGCATTTCCAGGGCGGGAGCCACGCGGGGATTATTCCTTTTGCGAGTGGGAATTTGGCTCCCCCAGAGAAGCGTGCACCACACATCGAGCTCTCCTTTTATTATGATTATGATATTTTTATTTTCAAAGTGATCAAAACTGAACTGCGGTTGAAAACATTAGGCTTGGCAGGGAATCGCGTTTTTCTGATTTCTATTTTGCGAGTCCACAATGTCCCAGCCTTGACATTTAGATTCTAGAGTCTTCCTTTGCCCTTCCCCCCCCTGAATCCGAAAGAACCTGGAATTTCATTCCTTTCTCTCCATTCACTTCGAAGACCCTGTAGAACTGGCCTGGGAAAGTGACCTGTGACACCCAGGAATCCTCTCGTACTTTTTTCTTTCTTCCTTTTTTTTCTTTGCTTTTTTCTTTTCTCGGCGTACTGCTGGTTGTTTGAGCTGGTCCTCCCGAACTGTGGGAAAGCTGAGGGCTGCTGCCCTGTCCACGCCGGTGCTCACGGCAGCTTTGTTTCCTGCTTGTCTTCTCTCCAAGGAGATGATAGAAAGTGACATCTCATCCATGTCCGGAATTATTCGAAACTCGGGGCAACGCTGCCACCCCGCTCCCCAGGAGTACAGGTGAGAGCGTCAGCAATGACAAACGACGGTTTGGGGATTGTTTCAAGTGTATACGTTCTGCGCGAGGTCTATGAAAACTACCATTACGTTAAATTCGGTGACTTTGTAGGAGCGCTAGGGAGTCTCAGTCTCAAAGCTGGGCTCTCTGAGGGTGTCCGGCTGGGGGCCTGGGGCAGTGGGGCCACGAAACGTCTGTAGTCTTTTGTCCTTTCCAAGAGAAGTCCTGTCCTGAGTTAGCGACTGGGCACCCTGGTGAATGTTACGATAACAAAAGCAGCTATTGCTTCCCCTCCGGGGCCCCAGCAGCATTCCAGGAAATGTCCCCCGAAAGCTGGGGGGTGGCTTCCGCACTCCCTGGGTGAACTCCTGGGCTCTGGGCCCAGCTGTTCGGCTTTGAGCAAGCCCTGTGCCCCCTCCGGGCCTCGTTCCCTTGTCAGTTAAATGATGCTCTTGAGTGAAACGGTCTTAAGGTCCCTTCTAGGTCTCACGTATTTAAAGAATAAATTAGAGAGAGACCGAGGCCAAAAGAAATGACTTCTTGATACAGAATGATGTGAAATGCAAGTGGGTGGGTGGGTGGGACTTCACCTTTTGTCTTCCAACCTCAGACCTAGAAAGGCCCTGAGGTGGGCCAGTTAGCCCAGCCCCCTTCTTTTACTGCTGGGGAAACTGAGGCTAAGAGAGAAGGGGCTTGGTCCAGGTTACACAGCAAATGGGAGGGGTCAGAAGGAAAAAGGAAGGATTTGGAGTCCCCTCCCCGCCTACCCCACCTTGAGCTGTGGGAGGGCCTGACATGTCCCCAGCCCCACTCCCATGGCAAGCGCCATGTCCATGGATGAGTAGGGTAGAGGGGACAGCCCCAGTGATGGAGTGGGGACAGGACAGGGGGGAGACTGCAGACCCCCGTGAGAGGGAGGCTGCCTTCTGAGACCCCAGGAGGCACAAACTCCAACACACGTTTGCCGAGAACCTGCTGTGTGTGCAGCTGGGACCCCAGATGTGGGCCTGCACAAGGCAATTTGTGCGCCCCTACTGTATGCCAGCCCCTCACCTCCACCTGGGAGGTGGCTCTGATGAGTTCTGTTGTACAGGTGGGGAAACTGAGGCTCAGGGAAGTGAAACGTCTCCTCCCGAGATCATACAAAAGGCAGGGCGGGGACAGCCTAAGGGCTCAGTGCTTGGGCTCTGCTGTCGGCCAGGATCCCAGCTGCTCTGGCTCTGGGGGGCTCTCTGAGCCTCAGTTTCCTCATCCATTAAGTGGGGATAGAAATGGCACCTGCCACATGGCGATGTTATGAAGATTAAGTAACAATTTCTGCCTCTGCTACTTGCCAGCTGTTGGGCCCTGGGAAGGCAGATGTCTGGCCTTTCTTATTCACGGGGGATCAGGGCTGTTCTTGTGTTAAACGGCCAGCATATCCAGGAGGCAGAATATCATCATCCTAGTCATCATCACTTGTGGTTTCTTAACTCTTTATGTCCTGCCTGACCTGTGCCACAACCACCCATGAGTGGCACTATTGCGCCTGGTTGGCAGATGAGGAAACCAAGCCTCAACCAGGTTAAATGGCTTCACAAGAATGTGCAGCTATAGGCGTGGGTACGGCGAGGATTTGAACCTGAGGCGACTGCACCCAGAGAGTATTGTCGCTGCCACCCTGCCCCCGCCCCACTGGTGAAGAGCTCAGGCACTGGAACAGAGTTAAGTTGCCCTACCACCTCCCAGCTGTGCCACCCCGCCCAAGTCGCTGCCCCTCTCTCTTCCTCAGTTTCCCCATCTGTGCAAAGCAGCAGTGAGAGAACCCAGTTCGCAGGCTGTTGGGAGGCCTCTGAGCCTCCATTTGGAAAAAGGGTTTAGCCGGGCCTGGGACAGAGCACGTGGAGGAGGTTTTATGCTCATACAGCAAATCCCACGTCCCCTGCAACCAATCCCACTTTTCCTGCCTGCATCACAGCGCTGGAGAAGTTTCGGGGCTTCTCCTCCCCACCCCTCGCCTCCGGGAACCACTCGGGCTGCTGGTCCAGCCGGGCTCCAGCCCCCACGCGGCCCTCGCCGCGGCCGCCTGTCCCTCCATCCCCAGGGGCCGAGCTTGGCCGTTAACTTTCAATGACTGTGTTCGGGGAGGTGGGGGCGTGGGCAGCAGCTGGAGGAGGCTGCCCTGTCCCCAGGGGGCTGTCAGGAGTCAGTGGCTGGGTCCAGACAGCAAATTGGCAGCAGTCTCCCCGCCCGCAGTGCGGGGGCGGCGGGGGGCCGGGGGCCAGGGGGTGGGGCGACCCTGACCTCCGGCAACGGCAAAGGCAAACAGTGCGCGCTCAACGTGAGCTGTTAGCTGCTTTCCTCTTGTGTCAAAGGCTCAGAGGCAAGTCCATTCTTGGAAGTGCTGAGAACGAGCGTTATTAAGCACCTACTGTGTGCCAGGCACCTGCTGAGCTCAGCAGGTGCGCCATCCCATTTCACCTCTATGGCAACAGCCGTGAGGGCCCCAGTTTATAGACAAGGGTGCAGCAGCCAAGAGCCAGGCCTTGCCCGGAGGCACGTGTGCAGGAAGCGCAGACTGCAGATTCTAACCACCTGCCTCAACTTCAGGAATTTATGCTAGGGGTCAAGTCCCGTAACCTCCTTTTATAGAGTGGGAAACTGAGTCCCAGAGAGGCGGGAGCAGGCTGGCTCCTGGCTCCTCGGATCCTCCCCGCCTCCCAGAGCCACGCAGCTCAGTGCTTCTCCTCACGACCCTTGTGCCAGACCCTCCGTCCCTCCTCTAAGAAATTAAGCGGCCTTGGGCAAAACCCCTTCTCCTCTCTGGACGGTGGTCTTCTCACCTGTGAGCCACAGCGCGGGACACCCGGTAGATAATGTATTCACTGGGGGGATGGACGGCTGGGTGACTAGCACGTGAGATGTAACACGTCCACGGAAATGCAGGGGCTATATGCTCAAATGATGACAAAGCCCTCTCATGTGGACCAGGACAGGCAGACACTGCCTGCCTTCCCTCCAAGCCTCCCCCTGAGCTGTGCGTGGGGATGGCTGCACCCCCACGTCAGCGTGGCTCCGCCCTTCAGTTGTAACCTCCTTGCAGGGGGTGTGGGGGCTCCATCTGTCAGGGATGGGGACCGTCCCAACTTCCTTACAATCCTTCGCCCTCATGGTGCCAGAACAGCCCCTCTGCCACACTGCGGGCTGGGGAGAGGGGCAGGCTTTCTGAGCTCTGGCCCCACTTCCGCGTCTTGTGGCTCCACCCCCAGACAGACAGACACACACACACACACAGAGTCCTAAACCAAGTTCTAGAAAGGGAAGATCCTCTTTTCCAAATTCCAGTAGAATCACTTCACATCATGCTCACCCTTGGCCCAGCTGGGCATTTCTGAGCTTGCTAAATTGCTTTTGATTTTCTTTGTCCTGGAAACGGTTACAAAAGATACATCAGCCAAATAAACACCTCCATGAAATGCTTAATCCCTTTTGTGTGAAGGGTGGATTAACAACAAGAACAGTTTGTGGGGATGTAACAGTTTCTTGCCAACCACATCTGGAGAAGGCAGGTGAGACTTCCTCTTGTAACATCAGTGGAGGTGACCTCCCAGGGAGGGCCAGACGTGTTGCTGCTCTGCTGGGGTGGCTATCTGACCCCCCTGTGACTGTGCAAGGCAAGGGGAGAGAGCGCAGTGGGAAGGAAGAATGAACCAGTGTGAGCACCTGCTGTATGCTTGGTACTGTCTTACAGTTTGTCTGCCCTCTGCCGCCGTAATCATCATTATTAATCCATTCTACAGATGGGGAGACTGAGGTGCAGAGGGGTGAAGTGACTTGCCCAGGGTCCGATGGGATTCAAACCCCAAACAACAGTTCCTTCCACTGCTCAATGGCTATATCAACTTTAAGGAACCCCAAGATCTGCAGGGTTCAGTGCGGTCTCCAGACTTCAGCTCTGTGGGCAGATGCCCACAGACACTGTAATCCATCCACAAATATGCGTGGCCCTGTGCAGGCCCCTGCCGAGCTCCTTGGCAGGCACATCGTCGCATCTCACCTCTGCAAATAGGGTAGTGGCCGTGGTGTCCAGTTCATCATGAGTGGACAAGTATTTGTCACACAAAAGAATAGAAGTCTGGATTGGTCGCTCTGAGTCTGCATCCAGGTGTAAGGCAAAGTTATCCCTGTCTTCCAGGAGTAAAATTAACAGATGATCTTGGGAGTCAGTGCTTCGTGTGGACACTGATAGAACAAATCATTCCAGGGGATGAGAGACTGGGAGATGCGGGACTGGTCTGGGAGGGCTTCCTGGAGGCAGTGGTATCTAAGTGCGGCAGCAAATGGAAAGAGATTGGGGAATGCAAGATATATTGGAGCTGGGGTGGGGGACCCTTCTTCCCTTTTCCACTCCAGCAGGTGTATAATACATGCCCACAGGGCTGCCAGGCCTTGCTCTGGGTGCTGAATGAAATGGAAGGCCTCCCATCCTTGCCCTCCTGGAGTGAAAGAGAGGAGACAGGTATAAATGAACAGCTCATTGCAGCGTGAAGGACCACCAGGGCTGGGGGATGGCCAGGATGAGCCTCTCAGAGGAGGGGACATTTAAGCTGAGACCAGAAGCATGAGAAAAAGCCAGCCAGGAATGAGTATATGGAACAGAGTTTCAGGCAGAAGGAACAGACAGCTTGTGCACAGAGAACTCAGAATGTTTGAGGAATTAAAAGATAAACAGGTTCCTAGAGCAGAGGGGATGGGAAGGAGGTAGCCAAGGGCCAGGCCATGGCAAGGAGCCAGGCTCTTACTCCCTTGATTGATTTTAAGGGCAGAGCCAGGTTCTGATGTCCCTGTTGAAAGGCCACGCTGGCTGCTAGGTATTTCACAAATGCTCCTCTAGCACTTGAGTCAAACACTGCACCCCCCCACCCCCACCATTAGGAGCGGAGCCAGGCCTGGAATCCAGGTCTCCCTGGGCTCACCCCTCTAGTGCCTACTCCCCTGGCCTATCTTCCATCCCCGGGGCAAC